CTTGCTTGCTTGTCACCTTCCCACTCGGATGCGGGGGCACGGCGCTGCCAGTTTTGCCCCTCCCAGCGCAACCGCAGGGTGGAACCGCACAGCAACGGGCATCGTCGGCCAACCCGCTTGGGGGCAGGAAAAAAACGCACGAAGAGAAGAAGCGGGGAGGCAGCCGCGCAACCGCCCCTGTGCCATATTTTCAGAAGGCACACGGAGGATGAGCGAAGTGGGCAACGATCGCGAGGTGACTCTTCTGTCGCCTGCGGAGATGGTAGAGAAGATCCTAGACGTCGTCGGTCAAATGAGGAGCCAGCAAAATGCCTGGAATGAGGAAGTGCATCGTTTTTTCCTCACCGAGGCGATCCAAAAAGCGCAGAGCGATCGCCTGACAAAAGAAGTGCAGGACGCGGAGGCCACCGCGCTGGGCGATGGATCCTTTGTTGATTGGGTCGCCCGCCGCACCGAGAACGATCTCGGGGAGGAAATGATTAAAAGTTGGTACCACATCGACGGCTTAGTGGAAAAAACGCCATTCATGGCCATTGTGCCGTGCCCACGGTGGCTGTCGACGGAGGGGCGAATGGAGTTGGTGGGTGCCGTTGACGCGCTGGGGCTTGAACGCTTCGTCATTCAGACCATCCCGTTGCACCTTCCACTTTCAATGATCGCGCCTACGTTTGTGCCCTCCGCCTTCCACCTTCCGCCCGCAAAAGCGGCCTCGAAATCGAGTCTTGGCAGCCTGCCGTATGTTGGTGTGCCATGCGTGTACGGGGGGGATGTCTTGAAACTGCTTTCAGAGAGCCCACTGCTTGCGGCGGCAATCGATCGCACGCCGTGTCTTTTCCTTAACGATCATATTCCCCGTGCCGCGCTGTGTATTCACTCCGTCACAGTAGGCGGTGTATGCGTGGCGGCAGAGGTGGCCTGCGATGGACGCTTTGCCGCCAAATTGGGCCTTGATTGCACCGAATCCGAGCGAGAAGGGAGAGGGCAGGATATTGATGTCTTGCCACTGGCACTGAAAACCTTTCTGGAAGAGCAAGTTGCCTCAAGCCTTGAGAACCGTTCGTTTCGTGCGTTACTTTTGGCTGAAGCCGTTGTTGGAAGGGAGAGGGAGCTTTGGTCAGATCAGCATCCCTTGTTGAGCACCGATTTACGTTTTTCACTGCTGAATATGGACACGCTCGATGGGTGTGAGTTTGAGTGCTTCAGCCAGCAGGATATACTTGACATTGTTCGGCGCATGCGAGAGTGTCATGCGGGGAGTGAGGCTTTTAACCCTGTTTTACGCTTTCTTGAGCCCCCCGCCGCAAAGCAGCCGGGTGTGTAGTTGCAGGCCCGAAATAACGAGGGGAGGTGAAATTTTCAAATGCTTGGCCGCTGCGTACGCTTCCTCGGATAGATCGAGAGGTGAGGGGGAGGAGGAGGAAGAAGAGGGCGAGGGGGTGTGCGGATGTAGATATGAATCTAATACTACGTGTGCTTTTATTGGATGCATTGTGCTGACGCCCATGCTGTGTGGCGTGGGTAAGTGGAGCTGCCTCTCAGTTGAATTGGCATGGTGTCTATCGGCGTAAAGGTGCTGCTGTCGTTGCCTTTTTTGTCCACGACTGTTTTTCAGGTAAGGTTTCTCTCTCTCTCCTCTCGCGTGCTCGTCGACGTGGCTGTCGCTCTCCCACCCCTCCCTGCCGGCCACCATGGTTTGGCTGAGATTGTCTTTCTTCCGCTTCCCTCACTTGCGTCCCCTTTTTTCTCTGTGTACTTGTGCTTGCGTGTACTGCGTCTTTCACACACGTGCCGCGCTTCACGGCAAGAGCGTTTGCTCCCCGCTCCCATGGATGCCCCGCCGGGCCCTGCCCCCGCACTGGGCGAGCGCCACCCGCCGATTACCCCCGACACACTCCATGACATTGTGGCGGAGCATCTGCAGCGTGCTGGCATGCGGGCGGTGGTCGCTGATATGCGGCGCCAGGCGAAAGCCGCCCGGGCCTCCGCCCGCAGCGCAGGGACGCATCGGCAACCGGCCCACGAGCACGACACTACGCTTCAGTCGCCCTCAGTGGGGCCGTCAGCCGGCGCGCTGGGGTGGTGCCTCAGCTCCTCGGTGGCCACGAGAGTGGCGGTGCGCCACCTGCTCGGGGACGGTGCCTCGAAGCTGCACGCACAGTTCCAATCGATGGGGCTTCCGGCACCCGACACGGCGTTTCTGCAGAATGCGTTAGACTCCAACGAAAAACGCATGTGGTCCGTGCAGGATGACGTGGACGCCGTGTACGTTGGGCGGGCGGGCGGCAAGGCGGGCCGTGGGATACCCGCCTTCGGGACGCTGCATCAACTCATAGAGGCCTTGACGCACGTCAGTGTGCTGCCCCTCTCAACCCTCGCGGAGGAAAGGCTCTTGGCGCAGGAGGAATTCACACATGCGTTTCTGCGGCAGCACCGCTACTTCGCGTCGTCGTCCACGGTACTCGCCAAGCTAATGGAGCGGTTTATGGTGCCACTCTCGTTGAAGCTCGGGTTTGACAACTTTGAGGCGCACGGCATTAGCGTCCATGCGCCGGGCACGTCTCTTTCCTCCGTCCTTGCCGCATCACGCGTCACACACACGCGCAGCGGTGAGGCCGAGGAGGCCATGGAACGGGGTGCGGGCCACTTCTCTCCCAGTGCCTCACTTTGGTTGGGTGTGTGCCGCAGAATACAACTGCGTGTCATGTCTGTGTTAACGCTTTGGCTGCGGGAATACCCGCGCCACTTTGATGACGCAATGCGTCACAGCGTCCACCTCTTTTTAGACGACTGCGCCTCGGCCCCCCAGCCATGGAGCGATTGCGCTTCGCAGCTTCGAGGAATGATGGAGTTTGCGCGGGCCGGCGTTTCAGCCAGCGCCGCAGCTGCGCAGGATAAACGAGGCGGCGCCATCGCGGCACGGCGGCATCGTCTGTGTGATGGGCCGCCCACTTTACCGTTCCCCTCGGCCACTCGCGGAAGCGCAGCCGAGGAGAACTCCCTCATGCGGGTGCAGGACGGTGTGGAGTGGAGTCCTTCACTGCGGGCCCTCCCCGGCGCTGGTTCCGCAGCTCGAGTTTCTTGCTGAGCCCCGGACGGAAAGCCTAAAGGACGTCGTCGCGCTTGCTCTTGCGATGTCGGTGGAGCAATACGCAGTGGGCCTCCGCTCGCTTCACGTGCGCCTTTTCAACGCGCTTCAGCCGGAAGATGTACTGGCAGTGGCCCACCGCTCCTCGGCCGCCTACTTGCGCTCCAGCGCATTCCTCCTCACGCCCGTAGGCACGTTTCTCGCCGCATCGGCCGACCTTGCCTTTTGGACAGTCTCCGTTCTCCTGCACGCGGCGGCCCTTGACGGCCAACAAATGCGGGGTGCAGGGCATACGTCGCCCCCCGCCGTGAATTTCGTGCAGCTTTACCAGCGACTTGTTGAACTTCTTGTTGCTCTTGTGCGGTTGAACGATTTGCACGGGGCGGTTGCTGTGCACAGGGGCCTACACCACCCAATCCTGCAGCGGGTAACGGCGCAGCCACGCGTTGTTGCGTTGCTGCCCGCAAGTACGCTGCAAAACGTCGCCCACCTCCATGGGATTTTCAGGGCGTGTGGCGCGGGGAAGGCGACAAGCGAAGATGCGCTGGAAAATTACATGCGGGGCCTTCCGGACACAGATGTTCACCCACTCCTTCCGCCGCTTCAACACTACCTGGGGAGACTGACGCGGTTGAGCCGCGAGGTGCCCTCCTTCCTCTCTCTTCGCACGGATGAATTTTGCCCCCCAAGCAGGCCAGAGGAAAACGCACGGGAAATTGTTGTCGTCCACTGGCGAAAGTACATGCTGCTCGACCGTGTGGTGTGCCAACTCACGGCTCAGCAGCTGGAGGCACGCCCCAGGGCAATGAATAAGGCGTTTGAGACTCACTTCACGCAGCAAAAGAGACGAATAATCTCCGACTATTGGCAACTGGCCGGAATGGCAAACAGCTTTCTCTCCGCCCTCTGAGTGTCACAACTGCAACAGCAGCGGCACCGCCCATCACAAAAAGACAGAGGGAGAAACAAAAAGAGACGCCATGTAATGACGCCTCTGCTTGGGGCTCGCTGACTTCTGAAGGGTTACTGCAATAATGGACTCGTTAGTCGAAAGGAAGAGTCCACGTGCCAACTACCCGCACCTCTCTCTCTCCCTTTCTGCCCTTTTTATACATACGTACGTATATTACATGCCTAATTCCCCCTCCCACAAGTGCCTTGTTGCTTGCGCACAACGCCCCGATCGATATTTAAACCACACGCACAAACACTGACACTTCCGCCCTTTGTGGCCTGTGCCACTGGGGCTCATCCGCTGTGAAAGATGGTGTTGTTCTTGTTTTCATCCCCCCCCCCCCAACACACACACACAAATGGCTCGACGCGCAAAGATCACATGAAAAACTGATACACATGCTTCAATTGAAAGCTGCCACCTTTACCCAAAAACACTTGGCAACGGCGAGACATCATAAGCATGGGAAGAAACTTGCGCTAAGGCCACTGAAAAGCCCTACAGGGCAGCCGCAAAGACGCTGCCATCTTAAATTGCATTTAAAATTAAAAATAAAAGGGCGACAAAAAAAAGATGGCATTGGTGAGTAGCAAACTGCTTCAAGTACTCACTTACATATATATCTCCTCGAGACTGCGTAGTTACATTTTTTTTCTTTTTGTACTTCCTTTCCCCGCTTCTTCCTCCCGCCTCCCGCAGACAAGGCATTTGCGACTGCCGCCATCCACGACAGACCAACACAGACACTTCTCTCACGCCATGCGCCGTCCACTCCGCGCCGCACTGCCGCTGCTGCTGCTCCTCCTCGCGACGACGTGTTGCGCCGGTGGGTGCCTCGCCGCTGCACACCGCCGTGCGCTCGACGAGGCGGCGATGAAGAGCGGCCCGCCGCCGACCGCGATGGTGCGTGAGGTGCCGCGCAAGGGGGAGGGCGCGGCGCAGGCGTACACCGTCGCCGCAGCGGGCGAGGGCAAGGAGTGGGAGCCCATCCGCATCGTAGTGTCGATGGAGGATCTGAGCGACGCAAGTAAGTACT